GTGTACCAACTTCCGTTCATACGATTCAATGCAGTAAATCCTGCATCTGCAAGTCGCTAGATTATAGATTTCTTCGTATTACAGAGAGAAAAAGGATCAATCGGTGGTTACGCTAATCGACGCTGAAACGACGAATCCTTCGCCCCCATCAACCGCGCGATCTCTTTTTTTCATCCATTCTCTGTCGCTTCTCGTTCCTCTTGGGATTTCCGCCGCAACGTCACCAGCTCGACGTGTATTTACTCCCGAAGAAAAGACGACGTGAGAGGGATAGAGAGATAGAGAGGGACAGATTCGCGCTCTTAGTGCCCCTCGACGATTCAGCTCCGGCGATCCTCTTCCCCATCGGGACGCGCCGCTTCCGGTTAACTGGAAGTGACGCTCTATGTAAACGATTGCCGAGCGGTTTTCATTGGAACACGCAGGACGCAGGAAGCATATCATGGAAGTGGCAAGCGAGCTGTAAGTACGATCTTGTACTCTACGATAACATAAAATCGTTATTTTTATTCCTTTTCATCACTCAGTAGCGAATAATTCAACTCATTAATGAATAGCAAAATTTTAATAAGATAGAAATTTATGTGCTCGCATATTAGTCTCGAAGTGGTTTTTTTCTGCTCATAATGATGCAAGTTCCGGATAATTTGTTTAAATCATATGTATTACATTATTATGATGACCTATCATCACCGAACTGCTGATAACTATGTGCGACACGTGTACCGAATAAACTTTAATCTTTGCCACTTGGATCTTCTTGACCCAATTCTTCGCGAGATTTGTTTTCGGGATCATTAATTTTCTTTTATCTCGTGCTGCGCAGTTTTTTTAGAGCAATTCAAAGAGTCGACAAAAAAGTAAATAAATTCACATAATAATATTTCATTCATATGTATATTTTTATGTAGAATATAAGAATAGAACAGAATATAAGCATGAACACTTCAATATCCCAAGCTGCAATAGCACTTTTTTAGTTCTTTATTTTAAGCAATTTTTTTTTTTTAACACTTTTAGCACCTTCAAGTCTATTCAAGATCGTCATACACATTTATATAGCGCGTCTTATGCATATATTTGCAGTCGCGGTGAAACAAAACGTTTATATTGACACGTTGCATGTCATCTTTTATTCTTGAATCAAATGGGTTTCAGTCTTGTTAAAACAAACTGAGCACGATACAAGAAGTGCGACCTCAATTCTTCTTTGTAATATATTGTTTTGTCAAGTCATAAATAAAGAGTTACGATACATTTATAACGAAATGATAATTTTAAATCTAAAGCTTAACTCAATGACGTTAATCGTGAAAATGCCGTAATTAAGCGCATATTTTATCGCAAAATGTGACGCACTTGAACTTATTGCGCTTGTCGTAATTTATTGCGCGTTGTGTGGTATGTGTATCGAGAAAAAAAACATGGAGATTAGAGAATAAACATTAGTACTCGTTTATCTTGCATTATATCGCGTGTTGCTTATGATAAACATATAACGTAACATGTCAATAGTTTGCTTTACGAAATACGAGAGTGTGAAGAGCGAGGCGCGATATTTTTCATAATTAACTTTTTTGCATTTATCGCGACTCGTTATTAAAAACCGCTTGTTTCAATGACAAACATCACATCGTGAATGGTAGTCTGTATATGTATGCAGTTGATCCATTATACGCCGCCGTCATATATCGCATTCAGTGGCAACATGATTCATTGGTACAGAATTCTATAATGGCAACAGCGGTGCTTGGGTACTCATTAAATCATTGTTAGGCTTGCTCTTTGCGATAAGGAACGGAGGGTAAGAGAGAGAGAGAGAGAGAGAGATGTTTGCAACTGCACGGGCAGTATAAGAAATCATCACTGATTTGTAATTAGATTCTGCGTAGATGCAGTATCTGCGGCCAAGATGTGCGTATCTTGTAGACAGAACGTCTGGGAAAGAAATATTTATAGTCACTTTATGGGACGTAGATTATGATTGGCGACTAAAATTTACAATACTTTGAATTCTGTTTGTTTCAAACATTTGTTGTATTACATAGCAGAAAACATTTATGCTTAATAGATAATTCTGTCGCAAAATCATCCAAAATAGGCTTTATAGTTTGACAGAAATGTTTATATTGTTACGATGTAAATTTGGAAAGAAAGTTACAATGCAAATTCTTTGATTTAAAAAATTATATTTGTTCTTACGTGCTGTATTTCTGATGTTACATAATACAGAATATTATGATTTGCAGAATTTAATTGCAAAATCGTCTAAGCGTCTAATGATAAAAACCAGTTAGAAAAGAAAAAAAACAGTTACGCTGCGAACTCTTTTATTGCAAAAATTGCGGTTAAATATAAAAATCGGATTTCAGACACATCCGGTAGAAATGTACGCCAATGAAATATGTTATCGTGGATGCGAAAGTGTGCGGCATAACGTCCACACACATTTGGATATGTACTGATAAGGAAATACGTGATTCGCTTCTATCGTTTGAAGCGCTGCAACTGCAAATTTGTCTTGTATCTTGCACGATCGCTGCGTGGTCGATAAAATTTGATTAGACAACAGGCGTGTGCCGTCTTCGTGTGTTTTCACATCGCGTGAGCGATCTCACGCAGAATCAGCCGCTCTTAATGAGCTTTGCGACATATTGACCCGGAATAAATATTATTGACAGATTCCGTATATTTCTTCTGTATAAATTTGTACACTCTTGACCGACAACAGTTTAATGACGCGATTAAGAAAGATTACTTTCCTGTTGAAACCTCGTATCTTCCGATTTATTATGTCTAAAG